GTCTCCAGTATCTTAGTCTCTCAATAAAATTTTGCTTCTTACATAGCATTTTGATGCATACTGTTTTTAATAATCAGTTATACATCTATGTCAAATCATGTTTTTGTGAAACAGAATAAACAATTACATTTATCTCTACATTAATAAGCATCTTTCCAGTATTTATATTTAAATTGTATGCATATTTTGTTGAAATACTACATTATTTATTATTCTTTTAAACAAGATGTTATAGGCACCTAATTATAGTACATTGTATGTATGTACATTGTGATATAACTCATTGTGATATATTGTGAAATTATTTGGATATTGACATAATTTTGTGATATAATTCATATATAATATGCACATAAGTTGTGATTTTTAAATTATGTAGATATTTTATGGAATTTGCTTTCTAAAGGTTTTCATCCTAAAATAATTTAGTTTATAAGAACTTACAGTTTTCTACTTAAAATATCACATGGTTGAAAGGCCTTTTTTTTAATGACACCATTTACTTAATTTTTCATTCTCTTTTATGATTTCTTATTTGCTGTTTATTATTGCACTTTTAATTGTCTATGTATAGCTTCAAGTGTCTTTGCAGGAGACATTTCTCTTTTTGGGATTATAATCACTCTCAGTGCAATATTGAGTCAGGCAGAGAGCAGGCAGTAGGCAGCTCCAGGGGCTTTCCCCTTGGAGCTCTGCTAATCACTACAGCTTTCTTGTTTTAGTCTTACCTGCTGTATTTACCAAAGAGAATGAACTCATCTGTTACTCTTTCCTTGAAAATACCAGACATGTTATGAATGGTAGGTATATAAAAATAGTTCCTTTTTTTCTTCCCGTTTGATTTCCTATATTCTACAGATTTAGGAGATATTGCTGCCATTTTAAGCTTAGCGTTGCCTGTCCTTTAATTGAGAGAGTGGTAAAGGTTAGAGATTTCAGGGGAGTTTTGAAAAAGAATAAAGCACACACACAATATGTTTTGATAAATATTACAGAAGATGTACTAAGAGCCTGCACGATTGCCCAAAAAGACATTCAGGATGGAGAGGGGAGGTGTCCTTAAGCTAGCGATCATTCACAGACTGCTGTACAATCTTGGTCTACCAGAGCAATTTTTCATTTCAGATAATATTGGAATGAAATGTACTAGATCTAGAAAATTTACTATATTCAGCACATGACAACTCTTTACCATGGACTTATAGACTTTTTGCTTGCTTGTGTAGATAGGCATTTTATTGTTACAGTAGTTTAAAATAGTTATTGAAATTGCTCCTGATGTAATATATATCTATTATGAAACCATTATAATAATTAGCTTGATATTTCAGACATTCTTATACCAATATATATGCACTTAACACTGAAACTAATATTTGCTACTTATGTTATAGCTTAATGTTTGTATACATGTATCAACTATAAGCACATAATATTTTATAGCTGTCTAGATAAGACTAATGATTTAATAAAAAACATTTTTAATAAGGTTCCATCTTTATACTCCTATAAAGGAAAAAAGAAAGAATTTTCATGTTTATGTCAGTATGGCATGCCAACTTTTTCCAAGAATTGTTCACTCTTTCAGCTAATGTAGCTATCCATTGTCTGATCCAAACATTATGGAGCTGATTACTATAGTTAGAGTAAATCAGTTTTATCATTTTAGATTTGTTCATACCTCTGTTTCCTCTATGTGTATTATCTGCAGGTGTGATGCATTCCTTGGTGTTAACATGATGTGTTATTTTTTTTTTTTGAGACAGAGTCTTGCTCTGTTGCCCAGGCTAGAGTGCCTTGGCGTCAGCCTAGCTCACAGCAA